AAAGCGCTAGGAGCGCCAAAAGCGCCCTGTAAATACAGTGTGAGAGGTGATGATCCTGCCTCCATGTGACGGGGAGTGGCCTCACGCGACCTGCAGCTCTGCGTCTTCAACCCATTGATGTCGACCAAGAACCTCTCTCCTCTCTGTTCAATGTTCTCCTCCAAGTAGGCAACAGTCTCCAGCTCTTGAAGCTCTCTTTCTCTGTCTACCAGACCATCTTCGCAGGCATAGCCTGTGCCGAGCTTTTCCCCCGTTTCAGCGGTCTAGACTCCACAAAGCTATCTTGACAGGGCTTTCTTATCTGTTTATCACCCTCCCACTCCTCTTCTGGGCCTCAATTGTCAGAATCTGAACTTCGGAGGGCGCCCGATGACGGGTACCGAAGCGCTGCATCTGCATCTGTGCTTTGTGTTCAAGAGCTTACGTCTCGCCGGCTGTTTGAGTCCACGTCTTCGCACTGACAAATCTTGTCGGCTTCTGTTCTCGAATCACGCCGTGTGGCCATCCAGCCTACCTTATCTTCAGCCACCGATCCAACTACCCCGCGGCTTCTCACTCGCTGATCTGTCTGTGATCTGGGAGACACAACTGCCAGCCTACCATGGCCGCCAACGAATCTCATGTCACGGTGCAGAAACGCCTTCATTATGCACCTCCCTGGGCCGATGTGTCTATCATTGGCATTGCAGGCTCGTCGGGCTCTGGCAAGTCGACGCTGGCGCATGCCTTTTGCAAGAAGCTGAACCTGCCGTGGGTCGTCATCTTGTCCATGGTAAGCGTTCACCTGAGTCGAGTGGCTGAGAGGATCGGTCTTGTCTAACATGAGAAGGATTCCTTCTATAACCCTTTGACGCCGGAGCAATCCAAGAAAGCGTTCAACAACGACTTCGACTTCGACTCCCCAGAGGTAGATCCATCCGCCTAACTTCCCAAGTGAAGAATTGTGTGCTTAATAATAGTGTGTAGGCTATCGACTTTGATGTCTTGACGCAGTGTCTTCGAGACCTCAAGGCTGGGTGCGTATCGCTCAATGTTTCCTTGCATAAGACAAGATGCAGCATGCCTAGGCCACTGACTAATGATGAACAGTAAGAGGGCAGAGATTCCTGTCTACTCTTTCGCCAAGCACCAGCGTCTGGACCATTCTACCACGATTTATTCACCACATGTTTTGATCCTCGAGGGCATCTTTGCCCTGTACGACCAACGTATTTTGGACCTACTGGACATGAAGGCATTGCCACCCTACTACGTTAGGCCAAAGACTGGTGCTGACGGTTCCAGATTTTCTGCGAGGCCGATCCCGACACATGCCTCTCTAGACGAGGTATGAACCTTAGGCTCCACTGCCATGACACCTGCTTATACCCTACAGTTCTTCGCGATGTCAGGGAACGCGATCGTGACGTCGAGGGTATCATGAAGCAGTGGTTTGGATTCGTCAAGCCCAATTTCGAGAAGGTAGGAATCTCAGCTCACTGCATGAAGGGCTGCTGATTGGGCGTAGTATGTCGAGCCGCAACGCAAGGTGGCTGGTAAGTCGCATCACGTTCCAGGGGTCTTCTACACCGATTAACCGGAAGTAGATGTCATCGTTCCTCGTGGTATTGAGAACCACGTTGCTATGAGTAAGCTTGCCCGCCGATGACCACGCCATGCGTGGCGAAACTGACATTCATCAGCCATGGTGGTTCAGTACATTGAGCGAAAGCTGCTTGAAAAGTCAACGCATCACCGTGCCGCCTTGACTCAACTCGAGATCGACGCAGCTGCAGAGCCGCTGTCTGACAAGGTCTTCATCCTTGATCAGACGCCACAGTTGCGGGGCATGAACACGATTCTCCAAGACATTGATACCTCTGCCGAGGATTTCATCTTTTACTTCGACAGGCTGGCCTGTCTCCTGGTTGAGAAGTACGCCGCTGCCTACCTTCACCATACCCGAAAGTAAAGACTGACGATATCAGGGCACTCAACAATGTCCGATTCAAGGAGTACGACGCAGAGACGCCCGCGGGCTACAAGTACAAGGGTCTCCAGGCCAAGGGTGAGGTTACGGCAGTGCTCGTGCTCCGTGGCGGCGCCGCGTTTGAGACGGCACTGCATAGACTGATCCCCGACTGCCGCACCGGGCGTATCCTCGTCCAGTCGAACGTGCGAACTGGCGAGCCAGAGCTGCACTACCTGAAGCTTCCTAGCCAAATCGAGAAGAGCGAAAGTGTGCTCTTGATCGACACACAGATGGCCAGCGGCGGTGCGGCGCTGATGGCCGTGCAGGTACTCGTTGACCACGGCGTTGCGCAAGAGAACATCGTGCTAGCGTGCTATCATGCTGGCAAGCTAGGCGTGCACCGGTTGACCAAAGTCTTCCCCGGTATATCTGTCGTGCTGTGTAACATGCTGCCCGACAGTGAGAACCGTTGGGTGGAGAAGAGGTACTTCCGGTGCTAATTGACGACTGAATGAGGATGGGTTGAGCAATGGGAAATGAGCAGGGCGAAGGATTAACTAGGTCGCCTGGCATGAGAGAAATAATTTTCATGCCAGCCATTTTTGCGTGATTCCTGATCTTTGTGTCGATCTCAGCTTGCTGCTTCGCTGTGAACCAGCGCCTCACAGCGAGGACCCTTGAGCATCAGAGATGCAATTCAGCAATAGCCACCGCTTGCAGTCAAAACTCGTTGTAAACCAAGGCCGGAACGTCTGAGATTTGTGCGACTTTGGACAATAGCTTGGGCCTAACCGTATCTCCTGATCTCTGTTCAGCTCCAAGATTCTTTGGACGACCACCGTAGCCCTCGGGCGAAATTTGGGTCTTGGAGTCACGGTCGACTTCATCACAGTTCTGATGGCTAAGCCTGGTCCGTCTGAAGGATGTCCTTCGAGGCTCGTAAATACCTGGTCGTACGAAATACGAACTTCAGCCTCGCGTCAACAACAAGGTTTTTTTTACGGATAATCGTAAGTCTGCTGGTCTATTGACTGGCTCCCTCGTACCTCCACGCGCCGGGCTGAAGCTTCCCTTCTCCAGCGTGTCAACCTTCAGTCACTGATGTGTTTGTCGTTGTTCTCCAGAAGGTCCAAGAGGCACTCTAGAACCTTCCTGTTGCGACCTGTCAGAATTGCCGACGAGCGCAAACATGGCTCAGCATTGCATTAGGAGCATATACACTCCGTCTTCGCTGGATGAGAGATCAGAGTACAATTGGGCTAGATATCTTGGGCCCGCATGAGTGGTACGGCGATCATGAGTTCATTCAGGGATACTAATGTTTCGCCGCACAAACTTCACTTCGACTTCGCTGGATGTATTTACTTGAACCCTGAATGCTCGACATTGTGGGTGTGGGTGCAGATAATATGGCGCAATGTAGTGGTGGGCGACAAAGTTATCTTGTCCTAACTTAAGCATATCATTATCATATTTGAGTAAAGTTCATCTACTATCCTCCGATTGGGGGAGATGTGAGACACTTATTCAGAATGTGGCCTATAGGAAAAGGCTCCTGCAAAGTCACCAAGTCCTCACGGCCTAGACGGCTCCTGAGTGGTTGTTCGTTCGTTCAGACAACCAGGTTCAAAATTTCTCAAATTCATGAACAAAGTCATTTCAACGCTGTATTTTCCTACAGCAGAGAGTTTTAAATTTTATTATATCGAGTACATAGTCAAAAAGGTCTGAGACCATTTGTAGACTTTGACCTGTAATCTTATAAAGCTCTGACCGTGCCGATACCTTGTACAAAATATCCAATTGACAGCTTCACTGAAATGCATATCGGCCGGTAAATGAGAAAGATGTCAGAGGTATGGTGTGACAAGTCTTCACAGCACGTGGTTATCTCCAGAGAGATGCTACTCTGGAGGGTAGGAAGTTGTAGCGTGCGAACATGGTCGGTTCGTAATTCATGCCCAGCATCATCCTGAAGCTTGTGATGACCAGCTGCTAACATCATTGAATCCTCTTGACGAGGGAAGCCGGTCCAGATCACTTCTCGAATCATGAGACAAAGTGTGTCATCCTGTCAATTGGCTGGGAGATACTTTGTCTATGTGGACTCTGTGTAGGGATGTTGGTGAGCTCTGATCGGAAAGCTGTCTTTGTGGTCTGCGTGGTTTTAGCTCAGAGATGACCTCATCAACGGAACGAGCGACCTGACGGCGAAAGGAGCCCTCGGCTGTAGCCTTTCGAGCTCGGTCTAGAAAACACGATGTGTCTGACATGATCAATTGGCTCGCACGTCGGTCTCTCGGTACGCTGCTCGGCCGTGAAGACGGAGGTCGGCAGGCCGGCACCTTCAGTCCGGGAAGACCGGCGTCATGTGGAGCTACTAAAGCAAGTTGTTCGTAAAGCTGGTGTTATCCAAGCGCGGCCGCCCCATTTCTTTTGGCCGAGGCCTTGTGCATGCATGCCCAATGATGTTTTCTCCGGAGAAATCAAATAAACAAAATCAAAGATACCTCATTAAGAACCCAAGGCCCTGCGAAGGCTATGGATGAAGTCACTTAAGTGTCAAGTACCGGAGCCATTGGGGTTGAGATGCAAAGCTCGAGCATCGACTGTTGCATGCTTGGCCTCTCCTGATTTTGCGGCGGCTAGTGCCTGTGCTTCCACTCTGAGTGTGCGGCGAGGTAGCGCCGTGCTGCGGGTCAATGACGTCTGGAGAGCAGGGATTGGAGCTCTGGCTGGGTCCTGGCTGGGTCAATGATAGCGGCCATCATCACCACCACACTAGCCTGTAGCAGCCAGCACCGACTCGATCGACCAACCACCATTCCGCTCGTCTCCTGCCACAAGCTGAGGTAGCTCCGACTTCTTTTCCCTCTCAATCACCTCGAAGCGATTTTTCTTTTGCAACCCAGTCGTAGCCTGCTACAGCGCTCTCAATCCCCGAAGCGCGCAGTTCTAATCTCCTCGACACACGCTCGTTCACTTGCTCTGCTGATGGACTGACACCTTCCCACCGCGAGAACCGACAACCCAACCACCACCTCATAGAATGCGCCCCGCCACGGCGACAGCGGCGCCTGTCCGCCTGGCACGCGCAACACGACAGTATCGAGGCATCACAGGACCGCACTGCCTCGCTGGCCGATCGCAACCTTTGACTACTCTGCAATCAAGATCATACGCGAATGTCCCCCCGCGGTCCCAAGCCCGAACCTCCCTGACGCCGTTCTTCTTCGACGCCCACAAGGCCCCCAAGGCTTCTGTCCGGCCCATATCCGGAAAGCCTCTACCCCAGGTCAAGTCAAGGGCCTGGAACTTTGCCTATCGGGCGGCAGCCTGGGTTTGGTATCTCTGTTGCCTTTGTCGGCGTTAGCGTCGTCGGCTTCTTCATTTACGATGCCTCGACATACAAGGAACATACGACCGGCATGGACATCACCGTCTCGCAGATGGCCTTGAACCCCCGAATTGGCGGGCCCAAAGAACCTGCCAATCGCCGAAGTCTTCATCGACGACTCTGACCATGAGACGAAGCAGAATCAGAAGGACAAGCCCAAGCTCGTCATCCTCGGTGGCGGATGGGGTGGCGTTGCCATGCTCAAGGCGCTGCACCCCGATGACTACCACGTGACGGTCATCTCGCCCAAGAACTACTTTCTTTTCACGCCCATGCTGCCCTCCGCCACTGTCGGCACCCTGGAGCTCCGCTCTCTCGTTGAGCCTATCCGCAGAGTTCTCGCCCGTGTCAATGGACACTTTGTTCGCGCCAAGGCGGAGAACGTCGAGTTCTCCCACAAGCTCGTCGAGGTGTCTCAAGAGGACAAGCAAGGGAACGTGACGAGATTCTACGTTCCATACGACAAGCTTGTCATTGCCGTGGGTTCAACGACGAACCCCCACGGTGTCAAGGGACTGGAGAACGCCCACTTTCTCAAGGACATCAACGATGCGCGGTTGATCCGCAACTCGATCATCCGCAACCTCGAAAAGTCTTGCCTACCGACAACCACCGATGAGGAGCGCAAACGCCTCCTATCTTTCGTCGTCAGCGGCGGCGGCCCCACGGGTGTCGAGTTCGCGGCTGAGCTCTTCGACCTTTTGAACGAGGACCTGACGGAGAACTTCCCTCGCCTCCTGCGCAACCAAATCTCGGTGCACCTGATCCAGAGCCGTAGTCACATCCTCAACACCTATGACGAGGCAGTCTCCAAGTATGCCGAAGCTCGTTTTGCACGCGACCAGGTTGACGTACAAATCAACTCTCGCGTTCAGGAGGTCCAGCCCGACAAAATCATCTACACACAGCGACAGGATGACGGTAGCATCGTCACGAAAGAGATCCCCATGGGCTTCTGCCTCTGGTCCACTGGTGTTTCTCAGACGGAATTCTGCAAACGTCTCTCGGAAAAGCTAGGCAGCATGCAGACGAACCGGCATGCCCTCGAGACGGACACCCATCTTCGCCTCAACGGTGCGCCCCTGGGCGATGTCTATGCCATTGGCGATTGCTCTACGGTCCAGAACAACGTTGCCGATCATATCGTGACATTCCTCCGTAACCTTGCATGGAAGCGCGGCAAGGACCCCGAGACCCTTGAACTGCATTTCAGCGACTGGCGTGACGTCGCCTCTGACATTAAGAAGCGATTCCCACAAGCTATTGGCCACCTGAAGCGCGTTGACAAGCTGTTTGCTCAGTTTGACAAGGATCAGTCCGGTACCCTCGACTTTGGCGAACTTCGGGAGCTGCTGAAGCAGATTGACTCCAAGCTCACCAGTTTGCCCGCAACGGCTCAGCGTGCTCACCAACAAGGCCAGTATCTTGCGCACAAGTTCAACAAGATGGCACGCACAGCCGACGCGCTGAGGCAGAACGAGATCCAGGACGGCGACATTGACACTGTTGTCTACAGGGCGTTTGAGTACCACCACCTCGGCAGCCTGGCCTATATCGGCAACTCGGCCGTGTTCGATCTCGGCCAGGGCTGGAATATTACGGGCGGATTGTGGGCTGTGTACGCCTGGCGTTCGGTGTATTTCGCGCAGAGCGTGAGTTTCCGCACGAGGATGCTGCTGGCAATGGACTGGGCGAAGCGGGGTTTGTTCGGCAGAGGTACGTTGCGTCGCTCAGGATTGACGGCCTTTACTAACGAGTCACAGATTTGGTTGCGTATTAGAAGCGTTTTCAAGGAGCATTATGTGCGATAGTTTCTGATTTCATGGACAGGAGGACCGGGACACATGTCAAATAGGTCATTACAGCCAGCCCGGCTTATGTATTCACGCTGCGTTATGAAGCGACGTCCTTGTTCCCCTGCATCTATAACCTGAAATCCTTGTACGACCACTTCTCCGAGTACTTGACCTTTGGCGCCTTGTGGAAGGCGATCCTCCTGCGGCTCTCGACCTTGCCACGCACCAGCAAGCTCCTGTACCTGTCCTTGAGCAGGTTACCTTCGGGCCGCAGCCTGCGGAGCGAGTCCTGCAGCTCATCCGGAAGAACGAGCTCGAGGTCACCCTCGGGCAGCTTGCTCTTGCCGAGCTTCTTCCTCCGCAGCGCGACCTCGCCGGCGCCGTCGTCCTCCTCCTCCGAAGAGTCGACTTCGGCCTGTTGCGCAACCAGGGCCTGCACAAAGGCGTCGCGCTCGGCAATCTCGGACGCAATCTCCCTGATGCGTTTCGTCTGCTCGTCGCGGGCTTTGATCTTGGACTCGTGCTTCTTCAGACCCTCCTCGGCCTTGCGGCGCTTGATTCTGTTGCGCTGGACCGTTGTCTTGCGCTTGCGCGGCTTGCTCGCCGCCGATACACCCTCGGCATCCGACCCCTCAGCATCCGTCTCGAAGCCCTCCCAGGCCGAATCCTCGTCCCACTCGGAGAGGTTGGCGCGCGCCTCGGCGGCGTCGGCCTCGGCAGCGGACCGGGCAATAGCCTCCTCGCGCAGGCGCGTCTCCTCCTCCTTGGCGAGGCGCTTCTTCTCGACCTCGACGGCCTTGGCCGACTCGACCTCGAGGCGGGCGGCGTAGTCCTCGAAGAGGGGGTTGTAACTGTGGCCGCCCTTGGGCTTGGCCACGGCGCGGACCGTCTTGCCCGACGCCGCGAGCGAGACGGGCTTGTGGCGCAGCGTGCGCGGGGGCTTGGGCATTTCCTTCTCGGGGATAAAGTTGTCCTCGGCCCGCTCGACGACGGGCTTCTCGACGGGCGGCGGCGCCGCCCAGACGTCGTAGGTCGCGGGCTGACGTCGATGTCGAGGGCGCCTGGCCGTCGGCGACGCGGCGCAGGCGCGCGAGCTCGGCGGCCGACACCCAGTCTTGCGGGCGCGCTTCGTCGGGAGCAGGCCGTCCGAGGTCTTGGGGGCGGGCCGCTTGCGCAGGGACACGGCGGGGACGGCGGAGCGTTGGGCGATGATCTCGTCGGCGCGCAGCGTCTTGGTCACGCGCTGCTTCTTCTTGGGGTCCGTCTCGCCGACGGTGTCGATGGCGAAGAGGTCGGCTGAGTCCTTCTCGGCGGCGACACCACTGGTTTTCTGTTAGCCGGGCGGGGCTTCATGTGGAAGTATGGCCCAGGCAACGGGCCGGGGAGAATTGGGCCCTCTCTCTTACCCTCGGATGATTTCGTCGTTGAGGGCGTTGAGGCCTTGCTCAACTTCGGTGAGGTCGACATTTTTCCTCCATGCCTTCTTGCCTTTCCTTGACGGTTGCTTGTGCTGTTGGGGCGCTTCGGTCGACCCCGAGAGGGGTTTGAGAACGGGCATCGTGGTGGTTTGGTGATGGTGGAGAGACAAAAGCTGGCAATGGCGAACTTTTGCTGGCTGCAGATAAGACGAAAGGCAGTTTTAGTTCTGCATGTACACCAAAATCGTCGGTCTGCCACCTGCTTCAGGGTCGGCGGGGATTCTGGATTTTTTTCCATGGGCCAATCTAATCGGCACGTGAGCGGAATGTGGAGCCATCGAGTAAACTTCCCCCAGTCGATTTTAGAGTGGGAACAATGCCTTATCTTATCGACGTGCATCTCCACCAATCGCTCGGAATGACCGCCGCCAAGGTCGAGAGGCACGAGAATGGAAAGCTCCAGACCTGCAGACCTCCTTTCCCCTTGCAACCCGCAGCGCCCTCACCCAAGCTGTTCTCGAGACGCCTCCCCCCCGACTTTGACGGCATCACGCGTGCGAACGACTGTCATAATCGACACTTTTCGTTGAACGCCGCTGCGACTTTTGCGAACCGACAAGAACCGTCCGCGCCGTGTCGCCCCCCCTCTCTCCCCTCCTTCGAACCCTATCCACCGCCCCTCCCCCATACCGAGGCTAAGAGGACAGCAACACCGGCACGATGGCGTCCGGATCCTACAACAACCCGCTCAAGAAGTTCAAGTACGAATTGTCGTGACGAGATGATGGTCGGCAGCGGCTGACACTACACAGGCTCGTCTTCTTGGGTGAGCAGAGCGTCGGCAAGACGTCACTCATTACACGGTTCATGTATGATTCATTCGACAACATGTACCAGGCGACAATCGGCATCGATTTCCTCTCCAAGGCATGCCAACTCGAGAACTGTATCAATGGACCGAGCTGACCGGCTGTAGACGATGTACCTCGAGGACCGCACCGTTCGCCTGCAACTGTGGGATACCGCCGGCCAGGAGCGATTCAGGAGTCTGATTCCCTCCTATATTCGAGACTCTAGCGTTGCCGTGGTTGTCTACGATATCTCGAGTACGTCAAACCCAGACTTGGGACAGCCTCCGCGGTACCCTCCTTTCCGACGCACCTTCAAGGACTAATCTGTGCAGACGCGAAATCGTTCCAGAACACCAAAAAGTGGATAGACGACGTGCGCGCCGAGCGCGGAAACGACGTCATCATCGTGCTTGTCGGCAACAAGACGGACTTGAACGAGAAGCGCGAGGTCACGACGCAGCAGGGCGAGGACGAGGCCAAGAAGAACAACCTCATGTTCGTCGAGACGAGCGCGAAGCTCGGCCACAACGTCAAGACGCTTTTCAAGAGGATAGCCCAGGCGCTGCCGGGCATGGAGGGCTCCGACACGGCCGCCCAGGCTGCTAACCAGAGTATGTCCCGCCACTTCAGAGATTCCGTTTCGAGTCCCTACTGACTGTTCTGCGCCACAGTGATCGACGTCAAGACCAACACGCAGCAGTCCTCGCAGGAGGGGTGCGCGTGCTGAGCGGCCAGTGTGGGCCGCCCCTGTCCCTCTCCTTTGGGACTACGAGATGCAACGCTGTGATGAACGGGCCGCCGGGGCAGGATATCTATCTTAAGCATAGCGTGCAAATGAGGCTGCTTTCATCGGTTCAGTTTGTATCATATTTGGCAGACCATGCTCACGATCGTTCGTACATACAGTACCTCCTACCTTATTTTAATCAGTTTGAGTCGAGTTGAGTCCGGGTCCTTGTGATCTGCCATGTTTCCACCCACCTACCGGCCGGATATGCACCAGGGCCGGTCGAGGGCAGGGCGCCGGCGACGGTCCTAGGTCTACGATCAATGCTGGCGCACGGGGTTTCTACTCGATCTGTTGCATATCATCTCTAGACAAGACTTCCTTTATCTTTTGACTTGATCTTTTGAATTGAGATGCCCTTGTGTAACAGCTTTGAACATCTGCCCTGAGAGATTTGAGTAAAGCCCCTCGAATTCGGTACTTGGGCATCTATAGCAGGTGACATGAAATGATTGGAACACCCGCTTTGGCCAAAGAACATCCAACAGCGTACTGCTTGTCGTGAGCTCATCACTCAGAAAACGGACAATAGCCCACAAACCTACAACATAGACGACCAGGTTTCTCCTCGTCGGGCATCTGGTGGTGCCCGGCTCCAGCGGTCTCATGCAGGCTGCCGGTCGCGTGACAGTCCGAGGCAGCCGGCGACCTGCCCCCCATTGTGGACCGGTTATGTCATGGGCTTGGACCCTGCGTTCGCTTTCGCTCAGCCAGCAGCCTACCAGCGGCTGACCAGCGACCAGCCGGCACCCAGCCAGGATTGCTCCTTCGCCTTGGGCCTAATTACCGAGAGATCCGCTTCGACCGCCAAACCATCATCGTTTTCTCCTGGCAGCTTTCTTGATTTGCCATTTGCACCAACACATCTGCGATACCACCAGCGACATCATCTGCGACACAACCTACGCGCCCTGGTCGACACTGCAATATTTCTTAGACGCGACACGAAAAAACGACTCTACAGATCATGGCGCTCAACGCATGGGGGTGGCTGCCTAGGCCTAAGGTACGGTTCCCTCTCGTCGTGCCGCCGTCTCACGTCGCGTCTTTCAAAGCCATTCTCTAACGATGTCCCAGACCTTCCTCGGCCTCATCAGCTTGCAAAATGGCACCGAAATGATCACCCTGACGCTCATCTTCAACAAGCTCACGGGTTTCTACGGCCTGCTCGCCATCCTCACGGGATACTCTCTGTCGCTCCTCCAGCTCTCCATGTACATCTACTCCCTCGGCGTCCTCCTCGTCACGGCCGCTCTGCTGCCACACATCCGCAAGCAGACGCCCTTTGAATGTCTAGCCCTCGCCTGGCTCTATATCATCGACACGGTCCTCAACGCAGCGTACACCACGGCTTTTGCCTTGTCATGGTTCGCCCACTCAACCGCGCTCGAGCGCCACCCCTCCCCGGCCGATGGCTCCTCCATCTCGGTCAACTCCGCCGTCCCCGACGCGACCCTCGCCACTGGTACCCCCGTCGTACCTGATGTGCCCGGCTCGACCAAGCACATCGGTCCTGAGGAGTCGTGGACGAGCCTCGGCCTCGTCATTGGCTTCACCGTCGTGCGCGTCTACCTCGCACTCGTCGTCATGGCGTTCGCCCAGAAGGTCCTGCAGCGCGTCGGCGAGAGCGGCTGGGTGCCTGAGAACCGCAAGGTCGACGCCGAGGACCTCTTCGCGCGCG